GAGAGAGATCAAAATAAAGGAAGGGAGGAAGGAAGGAAAGAAAGAGAGAAGGAAGGAAGGAAAGAGTTACTGAGGTTTGAAACAAGATAATAAAAGAACACAGCCATAGCCTATTTCCATTTTCCTCTCACTGAATGCTAGAAGAAGCAAGGCAGCACCCTGGGAAATGATACTCTTAGGAAGCACCCAGAGGATTACTGTCATCTTGCCCAGAGGAGTTCCCTTGACATCATTGCTATTTGCACAATTGCTGTTTAGATCCCTTTGGACCAGATGCAGTTATTATCTTTATCCTGAAAAGGGAATCAGAAAGCCTGTGCCTTGCATAATATTTAGCTGTGACTAAAGGACATAAGAGGATACATTTTTCAAATGCTGACTTTTGAAGGTATTGATCCTTTCATTTAGATTTCCTACCTATGGATGCTTTTCTCCCAATGCACCTTGTGAAATCATAAGCATAACCAAGGCAGTTAATTATTGGCAATTGTCTACTCTTGACATTTACCTTTAAAGATACTGTCAGAACCATGTGATCTTCTAGCTGAAAGAAAATCAATTGCTGCTAGGAAACAGTTTCTTCTAATCCCTTATGGTAAAGACACAAACAGTTGAAGAAGTACAAGGTATTCTAGTCACGTAGAGTTTGAGGGTAGATCTGACAAAAACCAAATGGTGGTTTAAATTCTTTTGTTGTACTAGATAATAGTCTAAAATCTCCATACATTATGAAAAGCTTAGCCTTTTTTTCTGAAAGACAAGACCTTTTATTTTAATCATGTCTTGACAGATGAAATTGTAATCCAAAAACAATCTTTATAACACATTTGTCACCTCTGATGATTTAGAAATGAAGCTTTAAGAAATGAGTGTTTGTATGGGCTGGGAAGGTGGCTCAGTGATAGAGTGTTTGCCTTGCATGCATGAGGCCCTGGGTTCGATTCCTCAGCACCACATAAACAGAAAAAGCCGGAAGTGGCGCTGTGGCTCAAGCGGTAGAGCGCTAACCTTGAGCTGAAGAGCTGAGGGTCAGCGCCCAAGCCCAGAGTTCAGGCCCCACGACCGGACCCCCCCCCAAAAAAAAACCACAAAAGAAATGAGTGTTTGTAAATTAGATCCAGAGAGGCCAAATGCATGTGCTATTGCAATCTGATTTTTAGCTCAAAATGTTCATATTGGTTCTAGCTAATAATAAGCATTGATATAAGAAGTAGTTTCTTCTCAGAGGCTGAAAAAAATTGACTAATTAATTCCCGCAGCACCTGGCTGAAGTAATATTATTATCTCTACTGTGTCCCAAGAGAAGTTGAGCTAGCTGAGAAGCTACCAGGGCTACAATGGCAGGAACAAAAATAAAGATGGAGGCTAGTGTTACTTTTATTTATGAAATGATAAATTTGGATATTTTTGTCTCCCTGTGGCTTTGCAGTTCTAAATTGTCCAAGTAATCACATTTGTATGTCCACCTCCATTTGATTATATATAGCTAAATTAACTGTATTGTCATTGTGAATAATTTGTTCAGTCAAAAAAATGTTTGTTGAACACATACTATGTGTTAGAACTTGGCTGATGATCACCTTCTAGCTCTAAATCATCAAAATAATCCTGAAAGAAAGGCTCCACTATTTCAACTGGAATAATGACCTTCAGGACACTGAAGGTCAGCAAGTAGGGTTGTGAGATTTGCAAATAAAATGCAAGACAGATTTGAACAAGATTGTTTCCAAAAATATGAATAAATAAACAAATATTTTAAAAAGTAAAATAAAAGGTATTCCTTTTACAATTTATTGAGGAGGTTAAAAAGCTAGCTTTTATGGAGTTGAAAATGAAACCTAGGTCCAAGACTATTTACCTGTTTGTCTGTATGTGTGTCAGGCTGTGTTCTTTCACCTCCTTCTCAGGATAAATACTGAGAAAGAATGTACTGAAGTTAAGGTTGGGGGTGTAGTTCAACATCAGTGTACATGACCCCTAGCATCCCATTTGCCCCTAAAAAAGTTAACATTTAAACAAAAGTTAAAATGAGACTTCATCCAATGATGAAAATGCAAATGTTATTTTAAATAAGTGTAATAGAAATAAAACTTCATATTTACAAAGGCATCCGAAGAGTTCCTGGATATAAATTTCCCAAACCAACATGGCCTGACCCCTCTGATGTTGGCTGTAAGAGATGTGGACCTGTTTGAGAGTCTTGATCTGTTGAGAGTCTACAGGCCTGTGGAAGTTTTGTCTGAGCTCCTTCGTCATCATGCGTGAGTATGAGTGGTCAATCGGTACTAAGCTGAAAGACATCCATTCCATTGTTATTTACAAAAATCACATGAAAACAGACATATAGCTTGTTCTCCCATGTATATATTTTCACACTCACACATATACATGTATACGTATACAAGTCTTTTGTTTTGAGTTTTTTCTAGTGCTGGAGATTGAACCTGGACCTCTTGCATGCTAGTTAAGTGCTCTACCACTAAACTATATCTCCAGCCTTTACATATACATGCAGTGTCAATAAAAATGATTGCACAATTGCAAAAAGGTATGCCACTGTTGACTATTTACTGCTTTTAAGATATCCAACCCTTTCTTTTTTTTGTTTAAGTAATTACTGTTTTGCCAGTTACTAGGAATATTGAATTTTTTTTTTTTTTGGTTGGCTGTAGGGCTTGAATTCTGGGCTTGGGCACTGTTCTTGCACTCTTCAGCTCAAGGCGAGTACTCTACCACTTGAACCACAGCGCCACTTCTTGTTTTCTACTGGTTTATTGGAGATAAGAGTCTCATGGACTTTCCTGCCTGGGCTGGCTTTGAACCACGATCTGCAGATCTCAGCCTCCTGAGTAGCTAGGATTACAGGCATGAGCCACGGGCGCCCAGTGGAATATTGAATATTTTTTTAGCCTGCCTCAAGTATTTATTATAGTAAGAGAAATTGAACAATATTCATTAAATGATAGTATATAAATACTTCTTGAATAAGCAACTTCCTACTTCCAACATGTTATTAATTATCTTGAAATGTATTGTCAGTTTATGAAAAGCAATTTATAACAGTGCTTTTTAGTTATCTGGCAGTTATATATCAAATGCTCTTTTAGGAGGTAGCTAAACAATTGCCTTAAAATTAATATGATTAACTAGGCATCTGTGGCTCACACCTGTAATCCTAGCTACTCAGGAGGCTGAGATCTAAGTATCTCAATTCAAAGCCAGCCAAAGTCCAATAGACTCTTATCTCCAATAAACTACTCAGAAATAAACAAAAGTGGCCTCTGTGGCTCAAGTGGTAGAGTGCTGGCCTTGAGCACAAAGAGACTCAGGGACAGTGCCCAGGCCTTGAGTTCAAGCCTCAGGATCAGAAAATAAAAAAGGGGGGGGGAGGATTAAAAAGTAAAAATTAAAAAATAAAAGATGGGAGAGAAATAATAATGTTAATAAGCAGGTTTTTATGTTAGAATTATAGATTTCTGAGTTCAGGAAGGGTGGTAGAGAGATGAAATTGATTGGAATACAGTATTGACATGTGTGGAGGAAACCAAATATAACTGATACAAGTTAATTTTTAAAAAAAGGTATAGATTTCAATTACTGTTACCCAGAAAAATTGTAAACAGATAAGAACAGATAGACCAGCTCTTTCTCAGTATTTCACATAAATTTTATGTATAAGAAAAAAGAGGAGATTATACCAAGAAAGAAGTATGTTCAAAGATGTGAATGATCATAAAAGCATCAGTATAATGAAAATACAATTTTGAAGCTATCTCAGACCTTATTATTAATAAACTGCTAGGAGTGATTGTTCAAAGTACAGATTGCTAGATACCACACAATGGATTTAATAGGTCTGTGTTGGGGTGCAAAATACAGGAGATTAAAAATATCAAAGAAAAACATTAGTATAAGCACAGGAGCAAACTCTGAAATGGAGTGCCTTGATAAAGGCTGCATTCTTAAAGCAGTGGCAGCTCCCCCATTCTTTGTTCTATGATATTTCTTTTGAATTGTGACCTTTCATAGAGAAAGGCCACAAGAGGATATTGTTGCAACTCACAGCACCTTACTCTGTTCATAGCAACAGAGACACAGATTGGAAGCCTTTAGGTTGAGGACAATGATCAGCTTGTTCCTGTCCCACAATATGACGGAGTGATTTTCCTCACCACAATCTATTAATAGGATGCTCATCATTTACCCTTTGGATCTCTTTGAGTCAGTATCGGATGTAAGGATTCAGATCAACACAGATGTCCAAGATGTTGGGGAAGGTTTTTAGATCAGGCAGTTGTACTTAAACCTAGGGCAAAGGAAAAAGGCACATAATGTGGAAAGGGATACTTTGGCTTTTATAAAAAGATAGACCCACTCAGCTAAGAGTCTGTAAGTAGGCAGATGGGGATCATAATTAGTTTTAATTTATTTTATGAAGTACTTGGCTTTGACCAAAAGCCTAGACAGGCATGCTACTGCTAAGTGTAAGTTAACTTTAAAAAGTGTCTGTGCCACCTTACCATCTTGAAGGATAAAAGGGATAGTTATTAGTATTAGGAAAAAGAAATGTCAAGAATTAACTACCTACTCGGAAGCAATAGTTTAGTAAGGTGTTTCTTTTTACTTGACTTGTGAATTTTGAAAATTTTGTTCAAAGTGGGAAATTTTCTGCAAATCTTAGAATGGCTTTAGAATGGGGATGGGAATTAGCTAAAATAAAATCCAACTATTTATATTTAGAAAATTGTTATCCTTTATTTAATTTTAAATCATTACTGTTACCCTCCCCCAACTACCCAGGAGAACCTTTTATTTATTTGATGTCAGTGATTTTCCCTCCTATATTGTTCTCCCTTTTCAACAGATTTAACTGAATAATATTTAATGTTGATTCAATTCTTCCTAGAGACCCTAAACTCTGTGATTTCAGTGGAAAATCAGCAATACATTATGTGTCACAAATAGAGAGTTTGAGGAAGCAACAGTTACTGGACATCCTAATGAATTTTCTGCCAAAACCAGGTAAACCTCTGTATTCCATGTATACATTGCCCAAACAAACAAAAAGCCCTATTTGAAGATCTTCTTTTTGTGTGTGTTGGGTTGATCTATTAAGAAATTCAAACTGACTATTTTTTAAAACCAACAACTACTTATTAAGCAGTGACTCCATAGAACATATGATTATGTGCTCCAACGGATGCAAAGAAGCCTGACACACATACTTGAATGTGTGCAGGATCATCCAGAGGACATCGTTGAAGTCAGAGCTGCTTAGCTTTTATTGTTTGATTGAGTTTTTGTTAGGAGTTTCTGGGGCAGGGGATAAGATTATACCTGAAAAGTATCTCATGGGAAAGGTGAGAATCTGAACTTTGAAACAAGAAAGGAATTTCATTCCACTCTGTATAACTAATATAAGCTATTTTACAGAGGGGATGGAGATTTCATTAACTTTCTGCACAATGTTGTAAGTTTAGCTTATCTCAGGAGCAAAAATACTGGGGGGACAAAAAGTGCATGCCAGAACCCCAAATGGCTCATGCCTGTAATCCTAAACTATTCAGGAAGATGACACCTAGAAGAATCATGGTTCAAAGTTAGCCCAGAGAGAAGAGTTTGTCTCCAGTTAATCAGCAAAATGCCAGACTGGAAGCATGGCTTAAGTGGTAGTGACAACTATGAGCAAAAAACACAAATGTACAAAACTCTGAAATCAAGCCCTAGTACCAGCCAGAGTGGGGGGGAGGGAGGGAGAGAATTTTAGAGAACTGAGAAATAAGAGCTTGGATAAATTAAGAAACTGGGTCCATGGAATCTTAAAAGTCAGGCTAAAGGATATATATATTTTTTCTCAATAAAACAAAATTACTAAAGAATTTTAAGCCAGAGATGAATGAAATCCATGCACTGGGGAAATTAACCTATTCCTATTGTGTAAGGTGGATTGGAAGGGAAACTAGATATATCCACAACCCTAGTGGTAAGAACCAGTAGTGCAAAGTTGCTGAATGGGGTGTGGTAGTAGGTGTGAGAGGTGCTAAAGTGAAATTTGCAGAATTTAGAGATGCAAAGCTGGGATGACGTTCTGGTTTGGTAAGGGTACCAAGCAGGAAGATAATAAGTTTTAAAACATAGAATTGGATAGAAGCATGGGAGTTCATGTAGGACTGGCCTTGTGGGAAAAGGATAGATTGGTGTGAGAGTTTGGGAGTTCTCCACAGCAGCAGATTGTGAGGACATGGCAGCCGGTGAGATGGTTGAAGTATTGACGATGGTGGGAAACTGGCAGAGGACTTTGCTAAGGAAGGGCACCTGGGATTGGGGAGTGGAGTGTACATGAGCACTAAGGCATGAAGGAGGAAAGAAGAACATTCAGAAAGAGTTAAGGAAAGAGTGAAAAACAATGTCAGCTTGGAAAAGGGATTATAGGCAGATGTGCAAAGGAAGAGTTTCAATGGAAGCATCAAGTCAGAAGGTAGATGGTAAGAATAAAGAAGGAAAACACAGTAACAATATGGTGAAGATAGTCTAAATATAGATCCCTTGTTCAATTTTGTTTTGTTTTCATGGGAGAAGCTCTAGTCATTGAAAGATTCCATGTTTTTTTTTTTAAATTTTTCTTTGAAGGGTCAGGATGGTAGAAGTTATGATAGTAATATCCCTTGGAATTAACCCGGAGTCTCTGGTGTTCAAACTGTCATGTGTCTTTAAATGCAAAGTGGGAAGTGCACTGAGGGTTGTCCTGAAAAACTGTAGGGCAAATGTGATTTCCAGATCATCATTAGGAATTCCAGTTAGCCACATTGCCCAAGGCAAATCAGTCCCAAAGGTTTGCAGAGATAACAGCTACTCACTGTTTATTTAACTTTATAATATCTCCTTCCAGCCACTAAAGAAAAAAATATGGTATGGTCTAAATTTTTGGAATTACTGGATAGTCTGAAAGTATCTGCATTGCTCTTTTAGTTGTTAGCAGATTGTGTTGAAATCATCCTCATTCCCCATGATGCTCCAGTATGGAAATTCAGACAATGAAAAGCTATGATTGGCAAAGCCAGCACAGGCTTTGCTACGCTGAACAATGTATGTATGTGTCACAGAATCTAGTTGGGATACATAAAAACGTTTCATCCCAACTATTCACCAGCAGAAGTGCATATGAGGGGTCATTCTTGTGAAAAGCAGAAGTCCTTGTCTGTGCATGGACCCCCCAAAGAAGAGAATGTCCTTTACCTGGCCACTGGAAGAGGCTTTAGAAGTTTCAAAGGCTCTCTCTTATGTTCTAGCAACCCACAAAGAGGACTGAAATGACAATGTAGCCATTAAGTAGGAACATATTCAATTTACCTTGAGCCAAAATCTGACCCTGAGTAACTGTTAATTCTTCCTAGAACTTATGATTTGATAGGTGTTCAGGAATTAATGGAGTGAGCTTTAAATGAAATAATTCACTTGCTTAAAATCTCTAGGTATCTATTTTTTTGAACAGTCATAATTACCATCAAAGTCTTTTTAAATAACAAAAGATTTAGCTGCCTATTTTGGAGTTTAGATATAAAGTGTCCCCCAAAAGGCTTGATGGCTTATTCCCTAACTGGTAGATCCATCACTGAAAGGTAATTGGAATATAAGAATTCTGACCTAATCAATGGATTCATTCACTGATGGATTCATAATTTGGTAGCATGATAAAAATTTTTGGAAGTGGAGGCTAAATTGGCAGAAACAAGTTATTTGGGTGTGTCCTCTATAGCTTGTCTTAGGCCTTTTCCTTGTTCTCTAGTTCTCCTTTTGGGGGGGGGGTCCGGTCCTGAACTCTGGGCCTGGGCACTGTCCCTCAGCTCAAGGCTAGCGCTCTACCACTTGAGTCACAGCGCCACTTCCGGCTTTTTTCTTTTTTGCTTATGTGGTGCTGAGGAATCAAACCCAGGGCCTCAGGCATGCAAGGCAAACACTCTACCACTGAGCCAACTTCCCAGCCCTGCTCTCTAGTTCTCTCTGCTTCCTAACTACCATGATGTAAGCAGTCTTCTCTGGCACATGCTCCAGGCATTGTATTCTGCCATGCCTTCCTATAGTCCCACAGTGATGGAGCCACGTGACCACGAATGGAAATCTCTGAAACTCTGAATCTAAAATATTTTTTTCTTTCAAGTTGTTTTTCCCAGGTATTTGGAAAAACTGACAAACACCGGTGGATTATTTGTTCTTGCATCTCTTCCTGTGAAAAATATTGCCTGAAGCGTCATTAAGATCCAAAACCATTATGTCAGGAAAATCTGAGAAAATAAAGCTGCCTTAAGAATTAGAACTAGATCTCCCTGTGAAATTGTTAGAGATGAATCTTATCGAAGCATAATATGTTTCCTTTTAACAGAAAGACATGCTGAATCATTGCTTGACATTTGTCATGATACAAACTCTTCTCCAACTGATACAATGACAGTTACCAAAAACCAACACATAATATTGCAAAGCATCAGCAGTGGTGAGGTAAGATGTTCCCTTTAAAGAAACAAAGTAAAAAAGAAAACAGATAATCCATTCCATCTACCACTTTATTTGTTTTGTTGGAGTATTTTGTAATAATCATGTATTTTAATATCATCATTAAATTGTACAATTTGACATTCTTTTTTTTTTTACAATTTGACATTCTTGTGAGAGTTTATTCTCAAAGTGGTAATTAGCATAGGCATCTCTGAGTTTTGTGTGTGTGTGTTTGTGTGTGTGTGTGTGTGTGTGTGTGCATTAACCAGTTTGGATTTCTATAACACAATACTATATACTGGGAGGCTTATAAACAAAAAGAACTGATTTTTTTTTTTTGTAATTCTAGAGGTTGGAAGTCTAATATAAAAGTGTTAGCCTGGGGCTGGGAAGGTGGCTCAGTGGTAGAGTGCTTGCCTTGCATGCCTGAGGCCCTGGATTCGATTCCTCAGCACCACATAAGCAAAATGAAAGCCGAAAGTGGCACTGTGGCTCAAGTGATAGAGCGTTAGCCTTGAGCTGAAGAGCTGAGGGACAGCGCCCAGGCCCAGAGTTCAGGCTCCACGACTGGACTCCCCCCCCAAAAAAAAGTGTTAACCTGGCCAGATTCTGGTGAAAGTCCTCTCATTTTATCCTTATGTGGAAAGAGGGCTCACTAGCCCTTAGTGCCAGTCCAGGGGCTTGACCTAAGCCCATAATGAGGGTTGGCTCCAATGCCGGGGGACTGAAGTGAGGCTAAACATTATGGCCAGGAATAGGTGGTGAAACACGGCGGCTCAATTTATGGCAAATGGAAAGCAAAGTGAGTGTGGAAGGTGCTAGGCAGAAGATATATACTTCCAAGGCAGAAGATAGATACTTCCAGTATCTCACCTCTTCTAACCAGCTTCACCTTCTAGTTTCCACCATTTCCTAATGTCGATTCAGTTATCAGTTTATCAGTAAATGAATCCATTAGTTAGATCAGAGCCTTTATGATTAAATCACCTCTTAATGATTGAATCTACCAGCCACGGACTAAGCTTCCAATGCATGAGCCTTTGGGGAGACACTGATATCCAAACCATAACATGTTTACAAAGGTACCACTGTAGTGTGGAATGTTGATATTGGAGGAAATTATGCATGTGTAAGAATACAGATATATAGGAAATCCTTGAACAGAAGGAAAATAGTTCAATTTTTTGTGAACATATAACTCCCCTAAAAGATTTTACTTAAAAAAAAAAAATAAGCAGGGCTGGGCACTGGTGGCCCATACTTTTAATTCTAGCCCCGTGGGATGCTGAGATCTGAGGATTGTGGTTCTAAGCTAGCCTTGGCAGGAAAGTTTGTGAGTCTCTTATCTCCAATAAATGGCTTAGAAAAATCCAGAAGTGGTAGAGTGCTAGCCTTGAGCAAAAGAGGTGCAAGGACAGCACCCACGCCCTAGTTCAAGCCCCAGGACCAGCACAAATAAATAAAAAATAAATAAATGGGGATTTTAAGTTTTGTCTGGGAAAAAATATAAAAAATCAAGTATAATTATTATACGATGCAATTTACTACTACATGGTACAATGCCCATATAATCCTAGTTATACTTTGGCATTGACTTAGCAAAAACAGTACATTTATTGGAGAAATAGGAGTGTTGCATAAGAATGTTAAATTGCCAACTACTAAAATAAAATGTCAATTTATACTATAACATAAGGTCAATAGATGATGTCTTTTTTTAACATTGGATAGAATGATTGCACTTTTTTCATGATGACATCTTTTTTTTTTTACCAGGGTTTGAATTCAAGGTCTTGCACACTTGCTTGAATAGTTTGCTCAACTGGTACTCTACCATACTCTACCACTTTAGCTATACCTCCAGCCTAGGTTTTTGATTAATTTGGAGATGGAATCATGTGCATTTTTCCTGCCTGAGCTGGTTTTGAGCCTCAGCTCTCCAGATCTCAGCCTCTTGAGTAGCAATAATGATATGTATCAACCTTTAGTGCCTTGTCTTACTAGATGATGTCTTACTAGAGCTCACTATCAAGCTGTATGAATGGAAGAAAATACTAAGGAAATAACCTGAAGTTTGAATGTCCTTACATCTGAGGGAAAGGATAAAGAAATAAATTCCTTTTGGTTATGTCTTTTACATTGTTTAATTTTTAAATGCAGCTTGATTTTAATACAACTTAAATTATGTAAAATTAAAAATGGTTAAATCAAGATTTCTCTAAGGACTTCAGGTAAAATGAGTGAGCATAGAAACTTTAAATTTGAAGTAATATTCAAATCTTATATTTTTGCTCATTTATACCGTTTCCACACAGGAAATGACAGAGATGACTTCCTCCACTAGGGGGCATTTGGCAATGTTTGCAAATAGTTTGAGTACCATAATGGGGGAAGAATGCATCCGGAATCTAGTAGAGATGCAAGACTGCTGCTTAAATCCTACGATGCACAGAACAGCCCCACAGCAAAGAATTATCTAGCCCCAGATATCAACAGTACTGAGGTTGAGAAACCCTGCTATGGATTTTTAACATTGATAGTGTTTAGTTGTTGAGCTTATGCTCAGCATACTCAAGAAGCATCATTTACTTCTCAGCGCACAAAATAACACACCAAATTCTAAGTCATAGGTTTTGTTACAATGTTGAAGTTTGTTTTGTGTTTACATACTAATATTATGTAGTAATCGAAGTAAACTACCTAAAGCCATGCATTAGAAATTGATATACAAGTACTTGGTGGCTATAATCTCAGCTAATCAGGGAGGATCAAGGTGCAAAGCCAGCCTGGATAGAAAAGTCTGAAAAACTCCATCTCCAATTAACCAGCCAAATGCTGGACTGGAGGCATGCCTTCAATATCGTGCTGGCTGTAAGGAAGCAAGCTAAGCAAGATGGAGGTCCTGAGTTCAAGCCCTACTAAGAAACTGATGAACAGCCACATTTACTTTTCATTTGATGGCTCATATAATGAATTTTCTTTTTGAAAGGACTCAAAAGCCCCTTCATATCAGTATATTGTTTTCATGAAACTTCAAAATTATTTCTCAACTTTCATGCTGTATTTTTCTTATTGTGGTTGAAATAAAGTTTAAACTCATTTTTTGAGGGCAAATAGATTTTTTCATTATTGGACTTACCTTTTGTTCTCTACTGATTTCTCTAGGTTTAAATCGCAAAACTCAAGGTCAGCCTTTGTTTTTCAAATGGAGGCTTGTGTCTCTTCTTGCTTGTCTGAAATAGGTGTTTATAGTGTGCAAATCTAAGTATTGCCTTGCTTATAGGACTATTCTCCCCGTCTATTTTCATCTGCAGAGATTCTTCTTTCCAAATTTAGTTGCGTGTGATTCCTACAGTTGATTTTTGTGTTTTATGTGTTCAGTAGTTCGTTGTTTGCAGGTTAGGCTACTAAGCACCATTTCTCATCCATCTCTCCCTTCCTAGGTGGGTGTCTGGTTTATAAAATCCAGACGGGTTTGGAATTTACTAACTTTTTCTTTCACCTTCTGTTAAGTGTCATTATTTCAGTTCTCCTTGAGGCATTTAACCACATCTTAGGGCCTCATAATTACCATTCTTTAAGAGATTAGAAATCAGAGCTGCTTTGGGTTTAGAAGCTTTTTTTCTATGATTACCTTCATGCTGTTTATGGTTTTTAGTTAATCTCAGAGCAGACATTTTTGTCCGGTTCTTACAGAGATTGTACATTTTTTTTAATGTGCAAAATGAATAACTTAGGTTTGAATGTCTTTTCATTTTGCTCATGGTTACTGAGTCTCTTCTTTCTGGTTCTTGTTGAAATTCTTAGTTTCAAACTTTTCATAGTAGCAAGGTAGCAGAATGGTTACAAGCTCTGGATTAGACTTCAGCGTCCAGATGTAAATCTGAGTTCTGCTGCTGGTTAGCCGGATGACCTTAGATACATTATTCAACTTTCTGGCCTCCATATGTAAAAAGGAAGTAATAGTTCCTACCTTTGTTGTGAGGATAAAATTTGTTAATGGAGCAACAGACATGGCACAATTCTTGTTACATTATATGTAAACAGTACTCACTGAAAGGTATTTTCAACTTTTTCTGAAGGACCAAATAATAAATGAACTGAGCAGTTGAGACTGAATACCTTTCATTAATCAACATAGAAACTTGACATGAGACCCAGTTGTATATTTCATTCTTCCAAACAAGTGTTCCTATTTTCCTAAAGTTTACCATAAAATTTTCAGTAAATCAATGCAGTTATCTGAGATGGGAGAAATATGCTTTAGGTCTAAGTCTAGACCAGCATAAGAATCTCAATAAACAAAAACAAGAGCTACATACTAAGAAGAAAAGCTCAAATGGTTCACAAATATGTAAAATTATCTCTAAGGCTGGAGGCATGGTTCAGTCATAGAGGTACCTGTCTGGCAAACAAAGGTCCTGAGTTCATGCCCCAGTCTCAAAATAAAGAAAGGAAGGAAAGAAAGAAGGAAGGAAGGAAGGAAGGAAGGAAGGGAGGAAGGAAGGAAGAGAGGAAGGAAGGAAGGAAGGAAGGAGAAAAGAAACAAAAGAAAACACGAAGTACAAGCATCTTTAACTTTATTATTGGTCAAATTGTGCACATCCAAATAATAATAAGACAACTGCTCTCACATCTTCCATTAATAAAAAATAAAAATGAATGCCAGGCACTGATGGCTCACACCTATTAAGGACGCTGAGAGCTGATGGTCACAGTTTGAAGGCCAGCTGAGAAAGGAAAGTCCATGGGAATCTTATCTCCAATTAACAACCAAATGCCAGAAGTGGAGATACTTCACATGGTAAGGCCCTAGCCTTGAGCAAAACAAGCTGGGGGGGGGTGCTCAGATCCTGAGTTTAAGACTCAGTACTGACTCCCCAAAAAATGATAAAGGAGAAATGAAACTCATTGCTGGTAGATTATAAGTGGATGTACATTTTACTTTTAAAGCAGTATGTATAAAAACCAAAAATATTCATGCTTTTTATAGTTTTTTTCCA